GCCACAAACAAAACCCAGTCGAGCCACCTTAATGCAGAAATCTGAAATAGTGTTCTGGAAGAAAACGTTGTCATGATGCCAGACCAAGTCTTAGGTGATAAACTTCTGTCTCTTAATAAAATTTGCATTACATACAGTTCTGTAAATTCACGCGTATCTAAGATAATACAACAACGTTGAAATGAACTACAACCATCCTACAAGCTTAAAACTTTAATGATAAATGTTCTCGAAAAATACTAAAGTTCATTTTAATTCCAGTTTTTTAAAGTATGTTGACATTTTATGCGTTTCAGTTGACTTTATACATGGTATTTGAAAACAGCAATTAAAGTTATATATTTGTGTCTGTTAATTGATTAATCTCATCTTAATAGGCGACTTGCACTAAGAGGTCACGCAATCAAATCAATCCGCCGTTGTGGCTGGCATTCTACAGGATTTTAGCTATGCGAGAACGTAAAAGGAGATGGCAAAGTCAGGTAGTTTTTTTTGGTGATAAAAGGTAAGTCAGCGCACTAAATAACAATAAATATCCCCTTTTAGTGCAAGACATATATTCATAGTAGATTTCTAAAGTAGATTTTTGATATTAACTCGTCAAGAAGAGAAAAATATGGTATTTTTTRCGCTACGATATGAAGACCTACGAATTGTTTAGTCTTGTTTTGCCGACTTCATGACCTCAAAACGACTTTTTGTGGAAAAAAATTCATTCTTCAAAAATGMTTTTTTCTTACTAGAAATAAACTTAGATACCTTAAATAGATTTTTACTATTCATTTGCCAGGGAGAGGAAAAAATATGTTATGTTTTGAGGTCATTATGTTTCATCTACGTTTCGTCTACGCTGTGGTAGTCTTCATCAGAATTAGGTACACAGACTTTTACAGACTTTTTATAGTTTTTTACTGTTGCATAACCATGGTGACCAGAGGCTATTGTCGGATAAGGGTATCTCTTAGTAGTCGTTTCCAGGTAGTACTGAGCTTGTAGGAGTCTTCACGGCTAAATTTGTTGGGCCGTATTGTAATTTCGATGGATTCTTTGATTAGTCGTGCAAAATAGGTGTTAGACTTGTAGCTCATCGTAAGTATTTTTGTTTTTCATATTTTTCCTTATTAATGTCATGATGCTGAATTCAATTTTCCTACGATTATAGCTTAAGGCTTTGTCATGTAAAACATTAATTTGTTCATGGTATTTGACGTTGATTGATATTTTTTCCCATAGCTTTTCAGCTTTTCAAAAACAACGGTTTCCGTTGAACCTGTACAGGGAAGCCAAGGACAAGAAAGAAGCACGTTTAGTGAGAGAGAAATTAATTCAAGATGAAAGGCTCAGAGAATTGCATATGAGTTTTATGAAAATATTTATAAAATGAAAAAGTTCTTTCCTCACAAGATGTCGAAAGCTTTCCAAGATACAATCATTGCCAAAATACTTGGCACGATTGCTTTCCTCTGTCGCACTCCCCCCTCCCCCTGTACAATGTTGCTGATCCCCGAAAGAAACTTGGTACCCTGGTCAGACTCGCCAACCCTCTGCCAACTGTAGCTTGTTCATTGAGCATTAATAACGACACGGTGGTAACACATGGTAATACACAGTTTTTTTTATTCAAACGTGGGACGTTTGTCACAACTCTGTATTACCATGCTTCGGGAGTAAATCGGAAAGCGGCCAAGCGAGATCAGACCGTGCATGGTGCGAAAGAATTTGGTGTTATTGTCAATAGCAAACAATAGAATTCCCAGAGCATCAAATCGTTGGGAAACG